CCTTCCTCTCCAGCCTTCAGATTTGTACTAAATTACACCACGAGTTTCCTGTCTCTCTGGCAAGCAGAAGACAGATTGTGAGACTTCACAGCTTCCATAATCATGTGAGCCAATTCCCATAATAGATCCCTTTTATGTATCTCTACATATCTCATTGGTTCTATTCTCCTGGAGAGTCCTTTATAATGCAACCTCAATTTGACCATAGTCCTTGAATAATCTCCTTGTATGGAGAGCAGGAATAGTGCTACATTAGAAATCAAAAGATCAGAATTCACCAGGCATGGAGGTACATGTCTGTAATCTCATCTACTCAGGAGGCTGAAGCAGGAGGATTGCAAGTTTGAGGTCAGCCAGGAAATTTAAGTGACACCCTGACTCAAAAAAAAAAAATTAAAAAATTCTGGGGATATAGCTCAGTGTAAAGGCCTTGCCTCCCCTCAAAAAAATCCCCACACAATTCCAGGACCAATTTGTATTATCAGATTGTGCTAGGCTGCGTTTCCTGCTATTCAGCTACAGTGATTTGGTCAATAAATTTTTAATTTTCTAGTAAAATGAGAAATCCAGAGGCAGGTAGTTCAGATTTCATACAGCAGTTCCATGATGCATCTAACATATCAGATTCCTTCTATTTACCACTCAACCATTCTTAGCAGATGGCTTCAGATCTCATGCTGGTCACCTCATAGACTCAAGATGGCTGCTTTGCCTCCAGCCTCACAGCCACACTCCAGTCCAAAAGAAGGCAGGAGGAGATTGTCAGGGAGCTCCTGTGATTAAAGAGTCACATCTTCTAGGAATCCCATGCAGACTCCCATCTCCTTCTCCTGGCTACCTCTGGCTGCACAGGAGTCTACTGCTCTGCACTAAATAGGGTCTTACCATGCCCTGGTTTCTCAGCAGCCCCATCTCTCTCCTAGAGCATCCTTTGGGAGTTCCTTTCAGGGAATGGCTCTCTCAACTCTGGGAGTCTCAGCAAGACAAATTCAGACGCCTTCCCTTCATCTCAATTGAAAGGGGTTTGCCAGCCCCTTCCCCAGGACAGCCAAAAGCACGTAGAATTGTGCCCCATCAGAAGGCCTGTAGTGGATTGATAGCTAGGGGTCAATTTATAACCCCCAGCTGAACTGAGTAAGCATGGTGCTGGGTGTGGGAGACCCACCTTGGAACTGTTGCAAGCAGCATAAGAGGCAGACCTGGAGAGGAAGAAAAAAGGCTTTTGGAAACTAAGGAGGCTGTTGGGAGCTGAGAGGGGCTGCTGGAAGCTGGTAGAAGCTGTAAGGAGCTGTTGGTTGCTTTGGAGAAGCAAGTCATGCTGGCTTTCCTGATGAAGTTGGCTGTTTTCATCCTCCGAGGAGCTCAGGACCTCGTTGAAACTGAGAATGGCTTTGGTTCACTTTGGGGGAGCTCTGGTCCTCACTTTGAGCATTGCTTCCTGGCTCTGGGAGGAAAGATAGTGCGCTGCCGGTCTCCTGGAGAAGCTTGCTGTGTTGGCTTCCCTGATGGGAACTCAGCCATCTTGATCATCGGAGGAGCTCAGGACCTCGCTGTGGCTGAGGATGGCTGTGGTACCTTTCAGGGGAGCTCTGGTTATTCTGAGCATTGCTTCCTGGCTCCAGTGCAGATCCCTCAGCCTGCTAGCACAGATCCTTCATCCCGCTGTCACAGACTTCCTATGCCTAGATTCCACCATTGGCCTTTGGGCCATTGCAGCTCAGATCCATGAAATAGGCCTGCATAAGATATTGTTATGGGCTCTGGGCCTCCAGGTGGACTTGAGGGAGGCACTGTTATGAGTTCTAGGTTTTCAGCTGGACTCATGCAGGACATTTTTGTGGGATCTAGGCCCTCAGTTGGATGCCTTGATCTTAGTATGTGGACAGATTTCCTGTACTCTTTTGTATATCATTCTTTGGGTGACTATTATAAATAATCATACAAACTATGTGTCCTGTATTATATATTGTTTTCCCCTTGCAAAAAGTATCCCCCAAACCATAACAAGGTCTCACTCTGCACTTTCACTTACAAGTGAGTGAGACAGAGCAGAAGTGTCTGGACTTTAATCATTCATCCTCTAGAAGAATCCTGCCTAGACCATCTCCACTAAGCTCTCGTTCCTAAGTTTTGCACTTTCTAACCTTTCAGAACTGCCTTCCTCCTGCCACTTTCTGAACCCAGGTTGCCAGTCTCCCTGTAAGTTCTGCAGGTCCACGCCTACCATGAAGGTCCTTTCTCCCCAGTGAGCAGACTGTTGCTGTTGCTGAAACAGAAGAAAGCCTGACTGATACTCCAACCTGATCCCTGGCCAGCTGTGTGTGGTCCTGAGAAAATCCTCTCACCTCCTTGTGCACTTGTTTTTTCATCCCAAAACGATAGGTTATCCCTCAAGTATTCCAAACAATGTATCATGACTTTGATCACTTACAGAAGTGATCAAAAAAGTGATCTTTCTACTCAATAGTCCTAAAGAGACATCAAAGCCTGGATTTAGGTTTTAGCAGAAGGGGCAAAAGATAAATGCTCCACTGGGGAAAGGTGACTTACACACTGGAAGCTGCTGGAACATTCCTTAGATAATCAAACCCACATAGATACTGACCGAAACCCACTCACTACTGGGGGCGCCAGAGTGTGATGTTTATGTTAGCAAACAGGTGCTATTCAGTATATTCTTGCTGTGTTTCAAGGGCCTGCTTATAATCCTATGGTTTCAGCTACTGACTGTAAGACTTCTTAATTGGACCACTATAAAACATATTTTTAGGGAGCATTTGTTTTTTCCCTTGAAAGCCTCTCCTGCACCAGACACACATCTGCCTTATGAAACTTCGGCAAAAAGGGGAGCAGCCTCTGTAAACTGATAATCCACACCTTCAAGGAAAAATTAATTTGTTAGAACAGCAAAGTGGCCCCAGTTTGGCCTTATGTTCTAGCAAAAGCTCATTGTTTAGCTGCATTTAATAATCCATGAAACATTTGTATTAACTTTAGTGTGTGAATTGTTTGGCTGCGGAATGGGTAAGAAAAAGCAGAAATGCAAAATACGCAGAAAATGAAAATAAATGAGACCTTAAACATTTGATCAAGGTCTCTACTTTTAGGTAACTAGTCATCATCTTGGGCTCTTCAGTACCAAACAGAACTCACAGAAGACCATTCTGAATTATTAAAACGACAAGGGAAACCTTTTATCTTTTTACTACTTTTAATTGAGAATGTAGCCCTTTGAGCTTAGCTTTATTTAAATATTTGATACAGACACTGGGTCACATATAAACCAGCAAAATTTCTCAAATACTCCACCTGTAATTATGAATGAGATTATATAATGCAGCTCAGCTACTGCATTTTACCATTCCTGTATTCCAAAGACTCTTTCCAAGACAAGAGGAATCCAATCTAGAGTTCTTTGTAAGTCTTCATTCTAGAATACCTTTTTCCATTTATTGATTTTTTTATTCATTCAATTCAATTTATTCAGTTATTCTTATATTCATTTAACACGTATTTTTGAATATCCAAGAGGCACTGTTCTAGGTGTAGATATATCAGAAAACAAGATACATGGGTTCAACCTCTTTTGGATCTTATACTTCAGTGAGAGAAAGAGATAACAAAAATGGTAAGTAATAAGTGCTACAAAAGGGTAGCATATGAGATTTTCTCATCCGTACGTGCCCGTGTGTGGGGATTTGGTGGCTATTCTATTAGAAAGCTAATGAACTGGGCAAGTTATCTTAAGAGTGGTGGGAGTACATGATGTCAGTGAGAACAGCAACACAATAGGTCAGGTGTGCAAATGCGCTCGGTGTGTCCAAGAAATGGCAGCAAATCCCAGAAGACTCAAGGGGAGTGGTGGCAAATATTCAGAGGGTTTAGCAGGGCAGGACTCATGAGGGCCTTGAAGGCCATGGGGAAATTTTGAGACTGTACCCTACTTGTGGTGGAACCCATGGGGGTCTTTGAGCAGTGCAGTGTTGTGAACTGATTTGTGTTTGTAAGAAATGGCTTTAGCTCAATGGTTAGTCAATCTAACGGAAGCTTTCTAGGGCAGCCTTGCTTGCATGGCTGTAGAAGAAAGACTTGGCATGAGCATAGTCCATTCTTTAGTTGTAAGGAAGTACCCACCTTGTGAAGTACTTGTAGTGATTTAAAAGTTTGCTCCCTTTGGTCATTTTAAAAGTTTATCAGTCTCCTTTTTCACATTTTGTCTTTACCCAATGTATCAGCCAGATTTCCCATCACTGAGATGTAGTATTCAACCCCTCTAATTAAAAGGGGGCACAGTTCACTTTGCTAAAGTTTCAGTCCACAATCCACTGACTCCAAGGCAAAGATAACATGACAGAGGGTGTATTGGAGTTTAGCTCATGGGAAGCAGCACAGGAGAATGAGGCCAGAGAGGAAAGTGTGAGTGACCAGACATAAATCCCAAAGCCAAGCCACTAAGATGCTCACCCCAGGCACACCTCTAAGTGTAATCCACCAATCCTCAGGGTGGTTCCTAAAGACAGTCAAGTTGAAACTCCACCCTAGCCACCTAGCTAAAGCTTGTGCTTTCTGAAAGCTCAGAAGTCAAGGTTAGAATCAGCTCATCTAAACATAAAGCCTGACCCAGGCTATAACCCCATCACAGTCCCTCTGAGAGCCAATTTTCCAGAATGTTCTCGGAACACTGCCTAAAACCATAGAGATAATTACTCTATCAGCAAGGTATGCCCCATAGCTGCCCAAAGTGCCCCATTTCATCAGAATGAGGTGTGAGAGGAAGGCTGCAGGTAGTGTTATACTATAGCTTAACCTACTTCTGGTAACCACATTTTTATCCCTAAAAATAATTTCTTAAGTCTTTAAAAACCTGAACTAATCTGTCAGTTTCTGTTATTTTGCACTTGAAGATCTGCCTCCTGCAGACACTCCAGGACAGGATAATTGCAAAGCATGTTGTTTACACTGCTTTCTGGAGTATTCCCCCAAGATTCAGCTCTAATCACCTGTTACAGTTGGTGGCTTTCCAAGGCCTCCTCCTTAAGGTTGCCAGCCATCTTCATTTCCTTATTGGTGTCCCCTGTGCCTCCCGAACACTCGACTGTTTATCCTGGAATCTGCTTCTGAGAGACACAAACAGGCAAACTTTCTGTGTCAAATCCTCTTCTTTCCTGAGGTAATATCACCCAGTCACCTTCCTTCAGCCAGGAGATAAAGTTATCAATAAGGTAAAGGTCAGAAGTACTGGCTCCATTATACCTATTCACCCATTAGCCACCTGTGGTCAAAGCCAAGGATATGACCTGCATCTATATGCTTCTCCTTCTAATATCGGAAGCTAAGCTTCTCAGCCATTGCTTATCCACCACATAGATTACATACAGCTTGGCTGTTATGTGGGGTCCTTCTCGCCCACTATAAGTGGACACTGCTTCTTGTCCAGGAAGCCAGGAAGAGATCCCAAATCTTTACTAAAGTTAGACAGACACTTGGTCTTTACCATGCTGGGAAGAAAGTTTCCCTTACATGATTCTTGAATCAAAAAACTTGGCCTTTGATTGTAACCCAAGGGTTCTAGGCAACCTGTGCTGCAACATGCCACACACAGATCCTTAGAAATCCTAAACTTTCTCGCCAACCTTCCACCACACCAAGACACAGACTGACTTAATAAAAGAATACCCAGAAATAATTACTCTTTTACCTTTAGATATTAAGCTTCTTAATCCTTCTTCAAACTCAGTGTTGGCGGAGGTTGTTACCTCCAGCTACAGGGAAAGGCAAAGTGGCATATCCAAGGTCATCTTGTGGAGACACATTTTACACCCTAGGCAAGAGAACAAGGAGACAAAGGGGGTGGACTCTGTCTTCAGTCTGAGTGGGGAAGTAACCTTCACTTGGGGAATTGTTAGGTACCAGCTGTGTGCCCCTGTGCTATCCAGGAAGGAAAACTGTATAGGGCACCCTAAGTTTAGGGACACTGTGCCTGCCCAGTTTCATGGGAACTTTGTGAGGATCCAGCTGATAAGAGAGAGCCACCTTTATAGACTAGTCCCCATACTCAGGTGAGGACTGGTCCCTGTAATAGGAATTAGCTGTAAATTAAATGTACAGCCACCACAAAATGTCGACATCATCCTTGATGTCTTTTTCTCCACACTCAAAGTCACTCCATCAGGAAGTCCGATAGGCAAAAACTGGTGACTCTTGACCTTCAGGACCCGTTTCTGCATTGCAAGGCCCTAGTGAACGCTAGGAGTTGTGATTGCTTTAAGGAAGCAAATAGGGGGCCTAAATTACCTATTAAGATCTCAGTCCATAACGACTGGAACCTCAAAAGCCCTAGGATTGCTTTGGGACATTTTTTCTCGTTCTAAATACACGTCACCCTCTGAGCCCTAATTCTGTATTCTTTCTAAACCAGTCTCCCCTTCTCTCGGCCTCCACAATGTAGAAGCGTTGGTCCCCAGAAAACCTTCGTGCACTCCTGGTTTGAGGTCACAGGCTCGCCAGAGAACTGAGGCGTAAATTTGTCAGGAGAAGGAAGCAGGAGCACAGTCAGAGAGTAAATCCTCATCTAACATGGCAGAAAGTCAATAGACAAATCAAGAAATCGCTAGGTAAGCTGATTTTTTAGCGACGCGGGGTGACCACCAGAAGAATTAAACGGAGGAACTGATCAAAAGGGCTGCGAGTGGGAGCGAGGGAGAGGGGCCTGTTGCTTTGATTATAAGCGATAATTTTGTTTTGTAGAGAAGGTTCATGCATTACCTTGCTTTTTTTAGTTAAATCGTTAAGAAAGAAGGTTAACATTTTTAAAATGGAACAAGCGGAATACAACACATAGGAAGATAAAAAGCAAATGCGCACACCACCTAAAAAAAGTCCGGCTTAGGGACCGCCCCCCCCCGGAGCGGGTGGGGTGTTCCAGTGGGCGGGGCTTGGATAAGGGGGTGGGGCGGGCCGTCTTAGGACCAACCAGGGCGAGAGGGCGGAGAACGGTTTTCCTCAGGCTCCGCCCCCAGCGGGGAGCCCGGGAAGCGCAAGGTCAAGTTTGCCTTAGACCCACCCCAGCGCGGGGGGGGGCGGGGGGCGGAGCGCCGTAGCCGTGCGGTCCGGAAGCCGCCCAGCGTCCCGACACCCGTCAGGGTCTCTGTTCGATCGTTGAGCGTGGCCGACAACCTGATTGGCCCTGCCGTCCCCCGAGATCCGCCCGCTGCTGCTGCGGAGCCCTGTGAGGCTCAGGTAAGCGCCGCCAGCAGCCCCGACCCGCGCCGTTTTACCTCGTGGGCGCCTGCGTTGATCTGGATCTGGGCTGGACGCCCGGGCCCGCGTGACTCGCGCCTGGGGGAGACCGGCCGACAGGTGGCGGTGGAGCTGTTGGAGAACAGCCCCGCCCCATCAACACGCGCCGGCCTCGGTAGCTGAGGCGGGGGTCATCCTAACCCCCTGGCCCCTGGGACTCCCGCTCCAGCCGTTAGACTGGTTCGGATCCCACCTCCCGCAGCCTGCGCTCAACAGTTAAAAGTAACTTCAGCAAGTACCGTTTGAGCAAGGAGGGTCAGTAGGGCCTGCTGAGAGCTGTGCCCTGCCCTTGACGTCCTCTTCCGGACGGTGGGACTGTGCCTGCGCGCGGGGACAGCAGCCTCGAGTGTGGGAAACCGCGCTGTTCCAGGGAGCAGTAAGGCGGCCACGGAAAGATGCTATACAAGGAGCCCGCGTGTTCGTGACTGGCCTCGGAGTGCAGCCTCCGAACACTCCTTTGCCCTTCCCTGAGCCCTTTCTCTTCCATCAAATGAGTCTCGAAAACAGTCTGTTTTCTGAGGTGAGGACTGGGTGAGTCCTTCATTCAGGAAACATTTAACCGGTGATCACTTTCCCTTGCTCCGAGGATTCGGAGAGAACTCGGATACCGGCCTCTGCTAGTACCTGGAGCCACATGTGCTGTAAATGCAATAAATGCAATAAAGCACCAGGCGCAGTCTGACGCAACCAGAGCAAGGGTGCTGACCCTCGGCTTGGGTTGGGGAGGTGTCCTGGCAGCGCCACAGGCCCCCAGAACATCAGGCTCACACTGCACCAGTGCCTTCCTGCCCTTCACGGGGACCCTGCACTACCGGGATCGTATGCGCAAACTGGCCAGAAGGCACTCCAGAGCAGCAAGTCTGCTCCTCTCTGGCTGAGGTCCCTTAAACCCCATGGATTTGAGAGGTCCTTAAACCCCCTGAGGTCCCTTAAGACCCCGTGGATTCAGGACAGCGAGCATTTGGGGCTGCAGTCACTGGTGTATATTATGGCTTGACCGATCCTGTGCCTCCTGGGGCTCTGTTCACAGCGTTGGTGTAGACACTGCCTTTCCTCTGTGAAATCACCTGGGAGGGCCAGAGTGTGGAACACAGTTGAGGGCGGAGTCCCCATTTGTGGGGAGTGGTCAGAAACCCCTGGACAGATGTTAACAGAGAGTGTTGGAGGGGCCAGGGAGAGGGAGCCTGGGTGCAGCCCGCTTCTCCTCTTAAGCCATGGCACTTTCCGGCCACAGGGGGAAGGAAGGCCTGGTGGTCACAGACCTGGTCGCCCAGCTTCTGAGCTGTGAGGATTGGGCAAGCCTGGCAGATGCTTGGCATGAGGCTGGCCCTGACTAAATGTTCATTCTCACCCTCTGCTTCCTCTGAATAAACTAAAATAGTTATAAGAATGGTGCCTACCTTAGAGGTTATTATGGAGACTTTTTAAGCACCTAAAATACATAGGACCATGCCTGACAGGTAGGGAGTTACCAGTACTGCTGCTGCTGCTGCTGCTGCTGCTGTTTGTTCCTTCTTCCAGGCAGATGTTCATGAAACAAGGTAATGGGGCCAGAGGAAGGTGGAGGGATATGGAGAACTGTGCAGGGTGATTAGTGGGACAGCTGGATTATCTGCTGATGTGGTTTTACTAGAAAGCCTCAGCCTCCAGATGAGAAGGCTGTTCTGCATGATAAAGGGCTCCTGGGCAGCCACACTGTCAAAAGGCCTAGAAGTCTGAGTGTCCATGAAGAGTCAGGTCAGAAAAGAGCAAGTGTTGGAGGAGGCAGGGACTAAGGTTGAAAGAAGTCTAAAGTTGCCTCTTTCAGGCTGTATCTTTAACCTACGGCAGGATACAGGTCTTCTGCAGGGGTCTGCCTCTCCCTTGTGTATGTACACGGGTATGCCAGGTACCGAGAACTTTCTTGAAGCCCAATTTTGTAACCCTTGCACCCAGCAGTACTGTGCATAAAATACATGAACAATAGAAGGAATAAATGAAAATAAACCAAATGTAAACTTTCCATAGTGTATATGTCAATTTTTTAAAAAAGAAGTATGAAGACAGAGATAACTAAGGTTTTAAGCATTTGCTGAGAGCTAAACATTTTTACTTATGCTACAATGTGGCAGCAGTCAGATAAATTGCCTGTGTGACTTCCCCCACATCACAGAAGCTCTCTAAACCAAGTTTTGCATCTGTGAAACGGGACTCCTTGTATCTATGGAATAAGGCTGTTTGGATCATTAACCAAGTATATAAAGCACTGACCTTAGCACACAGCATATAGTATGGAAAGTGCTCAGTGAATAATAGCTACTGGTATTTTTATTATATTTCTTAACCTTCCCCATACTCACCACTGTCTGGTGGATACTAAAGGCCACAGGCATAGATGGGTGGCATTGATTGTGAACTCGGTCTCATTGGAGGAGCTCTGCAGACACTAATCAGACAGCCGGTATGAAGTATGGTCAACTTCATGTACATTTCATTCACTACTTACAGCACTTGACTATGTGAGATCTTAAAAGGAAAAGAAAACCTTCAAAATTATAATTTATGTGCCTTTCAAGTTCAGGTATTTTATCATCTAGGTAAATCTTCCATGTATGTGGTTCAAGCACTTTTGGCTATTGAAGCTCTTAAATAAAGTGGCTTGTCCTGACCAGTATCTGTCTTTGCTTATCCCACTTTCCTGGTAAAGATGGAAAGGTCTCTTTGGGATGGGCAGGCATCAGGACAGCAGCTCCTGCCCCACTGTCTTAGCCATGCAGTTCTGTGTGATGGTGTATAACAAGCCCCGGTGGACTCCTGAAACCCTCTTTGTCTCTCATACATAAGCCCCATGTGCCTGTTCAGGGATTAGGAGTAGCAACGTATTCTGTTGCTAGTATGAACCTGGGAAATCATCCCTGAGGATATCTTAAGTTCTCTAAGGCAATGGGTTTCTGAGTGAAAGTGCCTTTCATGAAAAGTGACAGTATCTTCTGAAAGTCAGAGCTGCCTGTCTGTCCACCCGGGACTGTTGGCTCTGCACCTGGCCTTCTTACCCAGTGAAAGCCCTTTTGCATATCAGTGACCTTATTGTCTGCCTATAGCACAGCTGCCCTAAAGCTGCAATCCAGGGTGGCTGCAGAGCCCCTGCCTATTGTGTGAGCACCTTCTCAAGTCCTCTCCCTCCCCACCATGGACTTCCCACCATGCCAGGGACACCTCTGCTGCTTACCCTTCTCCAGCAGCCCTGAACAGCTGCCCTGAGGACCACAAGCATTTCCACCACTGGGCATCAAGTGTCCTGGTACCCCGCACTGTGCCTGACATTCCATCCTTTTGCCCTCTCTCTTTTTCCTTCCTTTCATCCTCCTTCCTTCTGCAGATACTTTAGGAAGTACTCTGGGAATTCAAACAGGAGTCAAAGTGACACAACCCTGATCCTCCTGAAGTCCACACACATTATGAGCCAGGCTTAGTAAAGACAGAAGTAAGCCCCTAATCATACAGCAGCTACTCATACACTGCGTTAATTGTCACCACAGAGGAATCTTTGTGACATGAGAGTGTGTAAAAGTGAGGCAGGTCGAGTCAGTGTCAGTGTAGATAGAGTGGGCCCATAAATGTTGATTGCAGTTTTATATTCATTTATTTTTATACCAAAGGTTTTGTATGGTGTTTTTTCATAAATTCTGGTAAACACTGATTGATGCCACCAAGGTAATCTTACTGAGAATGTGTACTGTGAAAGTGATTGTGCTTCAGCTTCCAAATAGGAGAATGGTTCTAATTCTCCAATTCATGTGCCCCTTTAGACTTCGCAGAGCGTCTCTTTGGATACTGTGTATCTCTGGGTGCTCCACTCATCAGTGTCATCCATCTCATCCTGGGTGGCGGCAGCAGACAGGCATCCCTCTTGCCTAAAGGTGAATCTGGTGGGGTGAGTGCTAGACCCTTCTTTCTTCCAAGTGACAGAAGCTACCTGTGCCTCTTTGATACCCCTGAGAATGAGAGTCAAAGTCCAGCATGGCTTTAGTCATGTGGTGGCCAGCAGTGTGCCATGGGAGAGGAGAGAAGAATAAAACCAACTGCTGTTGTCCAGAAGGGCAGGCTCACCTGTTTGCATGCAGCCGTGGCAGGTGAGCTGGCGGTGAGCTTTCTCCAGCAGAACTTAGCCATCACAGCCCTGGTCCTTGTGAGGAACCAGCATTCCTCCCGAGGATGCTATGCCTGCTTTCAAGCCTGTTCAGTTCCACTGAGAACAGAGGCAATGGTGTATGACCCAAACAAGCCTGGGAAACATTTTTCAGCATCCCTGGGTATTGTTCAAGTTACTTTGTTTGCCCAGAGCTATCGAGAAAATACACCTTCAGTCCCCACCAGTCTCAAATGTAGAGCGTATTAGGAGACATGAGTGTCCATCTTCCCAGGAGCAAAGGAAGGAGTGAGATTTGCATTGCTAAACAGAGACGGAGGAGGCCTCCACATTCTACATGCTACCTCCGCGGGTAGGCCAGGGGGGAAGGCTGTACTCAGTACAGCGTTAATAGGATCATCCTGGTGTGGTTGTAGCCATGCAGCAAAGAAGCAGCTCTGGAAACCTCTCTTCCATAAAGGCTGACATACAGGCACAATATCTGTGCTTCTTGAAAGTGCATGTTAAGTGGTGGATATTTATGAAAAAGGTTCCGAGGAGTAAATGCGTCCATCAGTCAACTCTTTTAGAGCTCATAAGATAGTTTTAAATTAGAGCCAATCTTCTTCCTAGCATCTGCCTCCATCAGTCCCCCTCCCTTGCTTCCTCTATAAAATGAAGTGGCAGAGCAGGACCAAGCCTGAGCAGCAGGTGGAACTGCCTTACAGAAGAGAGTGAACATATTAGAGGCAGGCCTGCAGGGCTTAGTGCCTTGACTTTGGTCCTTGCCTTGCGTCACATTGTCCTGAGGATGGCAGAATATGGAACAGGGCAGGGTTCATCCAGCCTGATTTCATCCTAGCCGCAGCCACCAGCAGCTCTGCCGCTAGTTAGGTAGTTTGTTTGCAGTGGGGGATGGGGAATGATAAAAACACATGTGCACGCTCACCTGAATTTGGGCTCAGTGAGTGGCAGGTGGGGGAGAGTGAGTGTCAGTGTCACTAGGGCAGTCACACCATCCTGGGGAAAGAGAAGGCTTCAGAATGGTGGACGTTTCTCTGGGCAGGTGATGGTAAGGCCAGAATGCTATCACATGAGTTCTTATGTAGGAGTCCAGCTGGAAATGACTACTGACTTCCAAGTGTGCATTTTAAAGATAAGAAATAGGTGTTTACTGCACAGGCCCTATCCTTAGTATCAAAGTCTGCTTTTTGCTTTTAATTCCCCATATGACCTTCTGTGAAACATTTATGATGCCACTGGTGACCATTCTTATATTTCTTTGTGAGGGAGAGGATGACAGTATCTTTTGCCTACTTTATATTTTGTGAGTTATCAAGGACATAGATGAAAAAGTAGAAGGGCTGCCTGTTTTGAGTGTCACTGAAATTCTACTACCTCTTGGCTTCTGGGATTCCACTTTAGGAAAATAGCCTGAAAAGTGGAAAGAGCCACTGTATAAAGTTGCTCTCTACAACATTGCTTATAATGGTGGGAACTTAGATGTGACCTGAATGCACAGGATAGGAGGACAGTGAAATTACAAGAATACCGGATTGATGAAAATATTATGTAGTGCTTAAAAACGTGAAGGTCAGTAACATAGGAGACCTTTATATGCACAGTGAGGAGGATGCCATTACACTAAAAATATACTCAAGAAAACAGTCTGCAAGAGAACCCTCCAAAGGGACAAGAGTGGCATATGAACAGTGCAAAATATGGATACCTTTTTTTCACTCTTTCAAACTCTCTGTATTACTTTATTATTCCTATAAATTTCTTAAAAATCTTAACATGAGCCAAGTTAAATAATGATCATCCTGCTGTTTGCTATTTTCAGGGCACCACATTTGTAGCCTTAGCCTGAATTAAATCTTTCAAGCAACAATTCCTAAAACAGGCTTGGCTGCTTGCCTCCGTCTCTATAGCCCAGGGTCATATTCTGGGTCCCCTGGCTGCTTACCGTGGCCCTATAGACTGATTCTCAGGGTTTTTAAATTGAGGAAGGATACTGGCCTGCTTGGTCCCAGGGGCATTGGAGAAGGGGAGAGAGTTGCAACCTGTGGCTTCCTCACTGATGAAGTTTGAGCATTTTGTGCCTCCAGCAGATACCCCCTACACACACACACACACACACACACACACACACACACACACACACACACACACACACACACACACCCTAAGTCAGCAATTGCCTGGGGCAACCCTACATCCTTCTATTTTCTTATGTGGCAGGCTTTGGTACTCTAGTGCTTCAGGGGCGGGACACTGTTCTTACTGCCAATTCTTCCTGTGCCCATGTATCCTTTACTGCCTGATGCTGGCCAAAGTCAAGTATCTGGCCAACAGTATGTCCTAAATCAACCTCATTCACTTGGCCGAACACTGGAAAGTCTTGACACGTCTTTAACAAGGATTTGAATTTAAGTAGTTTATCTAGGAGGGGATCTCAGGAAGCACTGGCAAGAAGTAGGAGAATGAGCCAAGGAAGTGTGCTGTTGAGTACACTACCTGACCAACCTGAAGGTCTTCGAAACACCTGCCCCAGAGTTGTTCTCTCTCAGGGACTAGGGGCTGGACACTGCTCCTGTCTAGTCACTGGCTGCATATTGTTCCTTATGGGGAATTAGTTCTTAGGTCCTCTGGCAGGTTCCAGGAGCCAGGTAAAGCCTCAGAGCAGAGAGACGCACATGCTGCCAGCTGGTTTGCCCTAAGATGGCAAAGCCTCGGACCAGGGGCACATGCCTGGCAGTGTGTACTGTAACGTTATTCCCCGAACACTGTGGACATTACCAGGGTGCTAAGCGGAAGAGAACCAAATTCGTAATGACATACGGTGTCGCAGACCTGGTCACAGCAAACGGAAGACTGCAGGAAGCAGTATCATCCCCCTAAAATTATGAAAAGAAAACTTCAGAAACATATTGCCATAGACTGCCAATGTTTGATTTAAGTGGCCAAACACTAGTGTTCTGCAGCTGTACAGTCTGAGATCCAATACTTTGAAAGAGAATCTGAGTGTATAATAAATCTTATTATTAGGGGCAATGACGGCCTCTTTGTGTTGGCTTGATTATTCCTGTTATTTCTCTAGTATGTTGAGATGATTTAAAAAAAAAACAGTTTATTGGAAAAAAAACATTTAGCATCATCTGTATCAGCCTATGGTTTATGTTTGTGCTATATTTTGATATTAATATTGGATTTACTATACGGACACTAATGCCAGAGGATAGCAGAGCATTTCAGCAGTTATGGCTTTAGTCACTGTGATAAATGTTTCGGAGTCATTGCCTTTATACCCAAACACTCCATCTCCAATTAAATATTTAGTAAGCACTATGTCAAAACATCTCAATTGAGACATGGGGCATGGCTCTGCTGACATTTCAACTTAATTCACCTATAGTTGCAGGGGTTCTTTTTTTCCCCCCTAAGTCTAAAGGAGGAATAACAGCAGCAATTTGGGGCATAACACAGATTCTAGAAAGTCTCCATATAGTTATTAAGTTTGTTTGGATACTTGCCACCACAAATGAAAGTCTTACTCCAAGAGCTAATTTTAAAATGTTCATGTGGCAATCTCAATCGGGTTTTATGGCTACAGTTTGTATGCTGTGAGTTATCGACATTTTAGAATTTGTATGGGAATACTTCAAGATCCTGATGTTTTAGAGAAATGAAACCATTTCCCTGCAAACTGTCGTCTGAGATGTATTCCATGCAGACTGGGATAACAAATCCCCTCCTTCACGCCCTGTTCCCCTATCTGCCGTGTGTGTGCAGCAGACTCCTACCAATGATTGCAGAGCCCATGCGCCGCTTTGCAATGTGCCTTGTTTTGCCGCGGCAGTGTGTCAAGTGGCTCTGAAGCCAGTGGACTCACCCTGTGCCTGCGGCTTTTTAACTTGTCCCTGCCATTGCCGAGAATGGTCACTAAAAGAAGCTTTCACAGTTTCATCAGCAGAAAAACAAAGATGGATTGAAGAAGCCGCTGGTTTGATCGCCTGGCGCCTTTTCAGCCACCCCTGGGTCATGCAGATGATAGTAACTCAATTTGTCAATGTTTGTCTCCCTCCCACTTTTCTTCTGTCATGCGGGTTCTGATTTTTTTTTTCATTTCTTCTTAATTTCCTCTCCTCTTGCTCAGGCGATTAAACAAATAACTTAAAGTTGTGTGTTCTTCTCTCCTGAAGTTTGATGGAAGTCATTTGTGTTAATGGACATATATCCACTCCAGGACGACTGCTCATCAGAGGTCACCAGTGACCTCCACATTGCCAAACCTTGCGGGCATTCTCTCTTCACATTTTTTATGCAACCTGTGATCCCTCTGACCATGCCCACCTTTTTGAACTGTTCTTGGATTTTCCTCTCCTCCCATTCTTTTATTGATTCCTTTCCCTGCTCCCTTTCCTTTGCTGGCATTTTCAGAGGAAAGTGGAGACGTGGTTCTCTTGGCTTCTGCTTGTCTGTCATCCACCCAGATGATTTCATCTGCACTCTGGTCTTTAGCTGTTACCTTTGTATAGATACTCTGTGCATCCTTATCTCCGTCCTATCTCTTCCTTATCTGACAGCTTGCTGCATGATTCTGCTTGTAGCTTTCAGAGACATCCAGAGTGGGCATGGCCCCTTTGTTCTAGACTGTTCCTTCATTCTCAAGGCCAGCTAAACACTTTCCCCACCATGCTGTTTCTGCTGCCTTCTTGGAATCATGGGTAATTGTTACAGTCTTGTCAGAGAGCTGCCGTCCTAGAAAGTCAAGTGGAAAGCAGGGACAAAAACCCAAGAAATAT